ATGAATAAGTACTTCTGCACTCTAGGGACATAGTGGGAAGTTAGAATTGAAGCCATTGGTGTCTATTTTATCTTCTAGCCCCTTTTCTCAACAAAGCATTCCACTCGTTGGGAACCTGCCTTTGATGTTGTTACACTGGAAATCAATGAGAAAATATTTACTCACAGAAATAATTTTCACCAAACATTGCTGGGACAGGTAGGTCTATTTTATCATTTATTAATTTCCAGAGCAATCTATGAAGCTTTGGCTGATCTTTTTAGCTGAACTTCCTTAATGCTTGTGTTTCATTTGTCTAGGGGTTAATCGTTTGCTACCTAATATTGTTTTTCAAATATATTTACTAAATTTATGGAGTCTTTTCATCTCCTAATATTTAATTTTATCTTTGTCAAAATAAGGGGAAAAAAATCTTTAGTAGTGGGTGATGGGATTTGATTTTACCCATTACTTACAAGCTAATACCTTAGCCTGTTGCTATTTTGTGGATGCTGACAGAAGTTCCAAGACTCTTGCATTAAAGACAAAAGATTTTCTTACTCATGGCACAGTAAGCAGCATGAGCTTCATGTTTGCCTGGGCTCCCCTTTGCCTCCCAAATCTCATGGGGGTTGCATTACAGGGAAGAAAGAGTTGGGGAACCATTCATTTCATAGTAAGCAGTAAACAAATCTGTTCTTTGTCTTGTAGGGAGATATTCTTTCATCCCTGAAGGTTGCTCGCTGCAAATATAACCCTGAGAAGTAGCCCAGGAGGACAGTGGTCAGGGCCTTACATACTTGACATATCCAGCAAGACATATGCCAGACTCATGGAGGACTCTCTCTCCCAACAATCACTATTAATCCCCTTTATTTAGACTGAAACACTGAAGTTTAGAGAAGTTAAAAATAACTTTAATTTTACACAGCTAGCAAAATCAGAATGTGAGTTTTCTAATTCTAATTCTAGATTGATGCTATTTTCAATAGACCTTTATTGTCTAATATGTAAAATATTTTATTAATTTTTTATTTTGAGTACAGGTTTAAATGATAATATTTTAATATTAATAAAATATAATTATACATAATAAATAAAATTATTAAATATAACATTTAATGGAAATTTACTACATATAATTTTAGTAAATAGTATTTTTAATTAAGTAAAATATTATGAAATATAATTTATATATTACTAAATATAACTTTGTTTATTCTTTCTTTTTAAAAACTTAAATTACATATATTTTTTGCTCATATATATATTATATTTCCATTGAATAGCACTGCACTAGACCATCATTCTTTTATTTATTATTTTCTTTTTAACCCTTTGTTCTTAGCTTTTTTCCTATTTTTCATTAGTTATAACATACATACAATAAATGCACCATGTACCAGTCTTACGTGCACACTTTATTGAATATTTACCTATGCATATACTGCTATAATCACAACTCAGATAAAAATATAGAACACTTGCATCACCATAGAAAGTTCTAGAAGACCCTTTCCTAGTCAATAATCATTGACTCCTATTTGTTGTGATAATAGGAGTCTCTTCTAACTTTTGACTTCTATCATCATCAGTAAGTTTTCACTGTATTAGAATTTCATATCGACAGAATCACAGCGTACACACTCTCTTGTGTCTGGTGCCTTGGTCAACTTGCTTTTTTCAAAATTCATCCTTATTGTCGAGAGTATCAGTAGTTTGTTTCTTATTGCTTTGCAGAATTCCATTGTATGGCTATATCTGTTTTCCAGTTGGTGGACATTTGGTATGTTTCCAGTTTGAGATATTTTGAGTGAAGGTGGTCTGAACATTCATGTACATAGCCTTCTTAAGCTTTGAGGAAGGACTGTGATCTGTCTTTGGTAAGCCATTCAATACCCCACTCCCACTCTAGCACCTAATCCAATGCCCTTCTTAATAGATATTTGTTGAAGAATGATTTCAAACTATCAATGTGGTGATTTGTCTCTTAGTCTGTGTAGAAAATAAAGTCCAATGTCAGAACAAAGTCTACTCAAAGTTCCACTATTATCACAAATAATGAATAAATAAGTCAGAAAGTCAGTCTCCTGTATTTAGATGATCTATTTCAGTCTTGTTGCCATTTAAAAATAGACTTGTGCTCCCAGATACATTTTAGTGACTGACTATGAAAGAATGTAGATGTTTCCTACACTACTTTTTTCCCTAATGTTCCTACCCATTTCTTCATCTCCTTATTTTCTTTTTAAACATAATTCAGATGAAAGAAGGTTCTAAGTGAACATATTATATAGATAGTCAAAGAAAGACTGTATTATACAAGGAGTGTTATTATTTTGGTAGTTAATTCTAAACTTTTGTTTTCATTTTCTTTCCTTTAAGATTATTTGGGAGACCACAGAAGCCAGATGTCCTGGGTTTAAGTCATGGATCTGAAATCATGAGAGAGGCTGGAGACTTAATCTTTGAGTCTCAGCTTTCTCTAAAATGGAAATATATTACCTTCTATACAGGGTTGCTTGGAGGATTAAAAGACCTAACATACGTAAAGCTGAGTTCTTTAGACAACAGCCTTTGTAAAGCCCAGCTATCGGTGTCTTCTTCTGGAATGAGCTGCAATTGTGTTTCCTGTTCTTTGTCTCTGATAATTTGGACATCGTCAAGAATTTGTCTGCCAAATTTCCCAAACTATGTACTCAGGCACTCCAGGGGGCTGCAGCAAACTCACCAAGAGCACATCAAGATATTTAAATTTTTAAAGGGAAACAGTGATACTTGGCATCTGTTAGACATGGAATGAACTACTGGCTCCAAGGAATTCACATTTTCAACATTAAATTGTGATACATTACTTTCACTGACGTCATATTTTTGCAAAGCTGTTTTTCTGTGGTTGCAGTGATAAAAAGCAAGTGCTACATGAGAATCAATGTACAAGATGAAGATGGCAGTATCCAGTCTGATGCCAAGATTTGAGAAATTACACAGTGACCAACAGATGCAGACATCTCATAAGTAAATGTGGTTATTTAAGAATAAAATATATATATTTTTCAATTTATGTGTATTATTTTTTTCATGTGCCTAGTATGATTTTAGGACATGGATATTCATTAAGTGTTTGAATCCTGCTATTCAGTGGGTGGTTGTTGGGTTTGTTTGTTTGTTTGTTTATTTTGACTGAGATAATAAGAGTGCTGTTAACTATAAAGTTTGAGAACTTTCTGTTCTAGGGTTGTTTAACCTAGGACAGACAACAGTGATATAGAGTAATATGTAGTTTTTGTAGCATCCAGGCTTCCAAAAACCCTCACCTTATCCTACCACAGAATCCTGGAAATGCTGATTTTCTTGTCTCTATTTGAGTTTCTTGTAGGTGGAGACGAGATTTAATAACCTTGTAGCGATGGAACCTGGCACAGTGTCTAGCACATAACAAATGCTCAGAAGATGTTCGTTGATGAATTAATGAAACACATAGAGTGTACATATAAGTAATAGTATCCAGTGTTTACTAAGCATTTCATAGGTACTTCCAAGGTTACTCAAATGCCATCATATTATTTTATAACTTGAAGACTGTTTAATGTTATCTTTGAGTTACATAAGTTCAGAAAGCTGAATGGTGACAGCACAAGGCTAAGAGCAGTCGTCACTTTTGGTGATAGAGACAAATAGGGCTGAATCTAGAATCCAGGGCTCCTACATTTTATATTTTCTACACTACATACCATACCTGGTCACCAGCAATTACAGTATAAACTTCTTATAGACGTTTAAGGACCCTCTTTTTATATTCTTCTGAAACCTTTTACAAACATAACCTTTAGACATCCAAGAAATAGTAAGCGCAGTTTACTTGCTTACTATTTCATCAATTAAACATGAAAGAAACTTTACTGTACAAATCATTGTGAAACACAGAAATATAGAAAAAAAGAAATAAACACAGAAAAGAGTTAGGTTTCTTTGTATTTGGAGAGTATATTATTATTGTTACTATTATTTGTTATTGTGAATATTTCATGTGTCAGTTTTTATTGAATTAATTCATTTGTTCAACTTAAATTGATTGAGCTCCTGTAGTTTGCCAAGCACCATCTGAGCGATCACAGAAATGATCCTGGAGCTTTCTGTGTAGTAGGGGAGACATATTATTCAGATAATTATTAAACTGTGATTGGAAAGATTGGCAGGAAGATAAATATAGTGTGCATTTAGAATGTATTAGAGACCACTTTATACCCACTAAAATGGCTAAAACTAATACCCTGGACTATGCTAAATACTGTGAGGATATGGAGCAATTGGAACTCTTAAGCACTGCTGGTGGGAGTGTAATATGATCAAGCCACTTTGGAAAACAGTTTGGCAATGTCTTCTAACATTAAACATACATCTATCGTAACACCTAGTAATTCCAGTTGAAGGATCCAAAAGTTTTGCCTTTTAGGATATTGATTTTTAAGCTGGTTATTAAGAAAAGGTTGATAAAGAAAAGAAACTCCGCCCTTTCCTGCTAAAGAGAGTCGGAAAAACTTGCTCCAGGAAAGAAATCTTAACATACGCATCTTAGCCTAATTCGAGCCAAGTATGGTAGGTAGATGGGAGGGTGTCAAGCACGGTCCTCTTGACTGGACAACCCTGCCCTCCTCATTGTTTCTGGGTCACCCAGCAAAATTCTACCTGCGATTTGTGTTCTGCTCTTCCTCAATTACCTGCAAATCAGTCATTCTCACTTTTGGAATCTAAGAGTCATTCCCCTCCCCCTTCTCTTTGTACAGTATAACATATATAGCCAATTTTACCTCACTGCCTTTGGAATTTTTCATGCTAATGTGAATTCCGTGTATATGTATTAAAATTTGATTTTTCTTCTGTTAATGTTTTTCTGTTAATGCGATAATTAGCCCAGCTAGAGGAATTTAGGTGAGAGAGAAAGTGTCATTTTTACTTTAGCCCCCACACAGTCCTTGGTATTTACCCAAAGAATGAAAAACAATTGTCCACACGATGACTTGTACACTAACGGTATAGCAGCTTTATTCACAGTTATAAAAAACCGGAAACAACGTAAATGTCTGTAAACAGGTATATAGGTCAAAAATTGTGGTGCTTCCATACAAGGGAATACTACTCAGCAATGAAAAGAAATTACTAACACCCCAACAGCACGGGAAGAATTTCAAAACATTGTAAGCGAGAGAAAAGCCCAGCTCAAAAAGATGTATGAAGTTATGTGAAGTGAAAGAATAGGGGAAAGTTACGGTAAAATGATAGAAATCAGATTAGAATTGTTTGGGGGTAGGCGGTGGTTATTGACTGGGAAGTTCCTGGAACTTCCTGGAGTGATGGACACACTCTCGTTGCTACATTCTCGTTGGGGTAATGGGTGTAACTCATGGACTGTACCCTTAAAATCTGTGCATTTCACTTGATGTAAATTAAACCTGTTAAAAAAAAAGAAAAAGCATTACATGGTGACTCAACAGTGGTGGTGCTGGCTGGAAACTCGGGTCATGAAGTTTTTCTGAGAAGTGTAGTCTACGAGGTTTACAAACGAAAAACGGGAGCGGGGCTGGGAAAGGGGAGTCCAAGAACCAGAAATTTTCCCAAGTATTGATTTTAAGGTGAAGAAAACTTGGGAAGCGTTCTATTTTATAGAGAGAGGTCAAGGTGCTGCGATAGCGCAGAACTTTCGGCCTCCAGGGTTTGCCCACGCAGTTCTGCCCCTATGCTCCCTGGGGGGGGAGGGAGGTGTCCCAAAAACCTTACTTGTTCCATTAGCCGCCGCCGCCGCCGCCGCCGCGCAGCTACAGTCTGACGGGCGGGCGCTCGCCAGCGTCGCGCTGACGTCACGCGCGTGCTGACGTCGCCGGCGGCCGCGGCCTCTGAAGCGGGCTTGGTGGCGGGGGGCGCCGA